TTTAATATTTTTAGAGTAAAAAATGTGAAAAATCATCTAATATAGTTTGGAAGTACTTACCACCATCTATAGTGGCTGGATTGATTGTTCCGCAGACATCACTATGTACCAGATCCACCTATAGCAGTCGAGGCCCTCTTATTCTCATCAAATGGACACCCTGTTGCCTTTTCTCCCATACAACTGCTGCATATTTTATCAGATTTTGATAAACCTAGCTTCATGCGTGCGTCATAACCTGCATGACCCAATCTTCTATGCCATAAGTCCTTATCCACTGAAATATGGCACTGGTAAGCAAAAGGTTCAATTAGTCTGTCCACTGTTTAACATATAGAGTCCCTCTTTGACTTCACACTATAACGTAAAATTTCTTCCACTTATGGTCGTGTAAATCATGATTTACACTCAGATCACTCACCTATTATCCTAACTCTGAGTGAATATATAATTAAGAAAAAAGCATCTATCTCATTAGTTAATAAACTGCCGGACTGGGCTAGTTTTAAACAAAGTCTGTCGGAAAAGGTAAACTTATCAGTACCGTTGCGAACGCCACAACAAATTGATGAAGAAGTCGATTGTTTTATCGTTAATATTCAACAAGCAGCTTGGGAAAGCAGTCCCAAATTAAAAAGAATTTTTAAGGGAAAAAACTACCCAAAAGAAATTAGAGATCTTATTATAGAAAAAAGGAAACTAAGAAGAGAATGGCAGCAAAGTCGAGATCCCCATGACAAAACAATTATCAACAATATGACGCAGCGCATAAGGCGAGAAATTCAAGAAATCAAAAATGACTCTATTAACAATTACCTTAGTGAACTCACCGGCGACAAAAGCACTGATTATTTTCTTTGGAAAGCAACTAAAGGCCTTAAAAGACCAGTTACCCAAATTCCACCCATAAGAAAGTCAAATCAGCAATGGGCAAGGAGTAACGAAGAAAAAGTAGAACTTTTTGCAAGTCATTTAGAAAAGACATTCTAGCCTAACGAAGCACAGGATGAAAATCTTCCCTGGAATGAACCTTATCAAGAAGAAGGCAACATTAAGCCTACTTCACTAAGAGAAATATTAACAGAGATCAAACAAAATATCAATCCGAAAAAAGCTCCTGGATATGACCTAATTACTGGGGAAGTAATAAAACAACTCCCCAGGAAAGCTATTGTGAAATTATGCAATTTTTTCAATGCGTCCTTTAGGCTTAAATACGTACCTAAACTTTGGAAAGTTGCAAAAGTTATCATGATACCAAAACCCGGAAAACCACCTCATGATGTGTCATCTTATAGGCCAATATCATTATTGCCCGTTTTATCTAAGCTTTATGAAAAGATACTGCTAAAAAGAATAAATCCGATCATAGAAAGACAGGAAATCATTCCAACTCATCAATTTGGATTCCGCGACAAGCACTCTACGATCGACCAAGTACACAGAATAACGAATTTAATAGAAAAATCGCTGGAAGAGGGAAAAGTCTGTTCCGCAGTTTTCCTCGATGTAGCGCAAGCATTTGACAAAGTTTGGCATGAAGGCTTAAACTATAAACTAAAGCTGTTTCTGCCAAAACAATATTCTGATATTTTAGAATCATATATGCAGTGGCGTATCCAGCCTGAGGCTCTGGGGGGGGGCAAACCAGATGTCCGCCGGAGGTGCCACGCCCAAAAGTCGTTGAAATCACATATCTTGATGGCATATTCGCGCGCATCCAATACTTTTATAGGAAAAAAAAATATATTTTCACCGAAAAATAAAGTAGTGTTCGTATTTGTTCCATATTATTAGCCTGCTAGCCGCCACTGAAAGAAGTTTTGGGATGTTCATCATTCATGAGAAATCGTCTTTCAAGAAACAAGTAACATATTATAACAAAAATACAAAACCAAACTCAAGTTAAGTTCAAGGTATGTAATACATAACTACATAAAAATAGTTATTTTCCTAACAAGTGCGCAAAGTGATACTTTCCCGCACGAAAAAGCAGTTAGACGAACGACGTGAAGCAGAGTTTGTGAAGCTTTCAGTGCAGGAAAGACACTTTCCGCAAGTGCTAGGAAAAATACTTTTTCTACTCGTTTTTCTACGAGTGTTTGAAAATTTGCATAGCATCCAGAGGAGCTGTACGTCATCTTCTCAAATGTTTCCCAGCTGCTCAAAACTGGTAATTTTCTCTCTTAGCTCGATGTGCTGTGTTCTTCTTTTTTTTGCAGTGATCAGCTTGATTTTATTTGCAATAGTGGTTGTGCTAGCGAGGTTTACTTAAAATTTGTTTTTTCCTGCCAATCTTTGAGACTAAACTTGGCAGGATGATATTTTTTCATGTGACTTTTCAAATTAGTTTTATATAGTAACAAGTACAGCTAACAGCATCTTCCCAAAATATTCTATCCATTTTTGCTTGCATTATCATAGATCTTGCTATGTCCATTGGTGTCTGATTCATTCTTTCCGCAACACCATTAGGTAAGGAAGTATACGGAGGAGTATAACTAACTGTCCAACTCTTATAATCTGATACTCCAAAGGAATGTGAGTTGGTGGCTCCTCACGCCAATGGTCACCCAATGACATCGCTGCTGGATTTTTCTTCCCCTCGTTCCTCATAGGGAAAGTGTCAATCTAAAAAGCCCAACATTACCATTACCTGAATGTCTTTCTTGGAACAAAAATAATATTAAGCCCTTCTCACAAAACATTGAAAGATCCAGTATAAGTCACGGATCCCGTATCAATACGGTAATTATGCGAAACAAAAATGAGTGCGCAATGAGTTTTCGTGTGCAAAGTTCAACTTTGCGTACGCAAGGGAGTGTGCAAAGTAATAACTTTGCGCACGCGAGTAGAAAAAAAATATTTTTGTTATTTGAGATATTTTTAAGAAATAAAAATAATAAAAGGTTATTGCTCTGGGGGGGCAATTGCCCCCTTTGCTTGCCCCCCCCCCTGTATACGCCACTGCATATATGTGTGATAGACATTTCAGAGTCAAACAGGAAGATTTTGAGTCAAATTTACGAAAGATAAAAGCAGGTGTACCTCAGGGTAGCGTGCTAGGTCCCTACTTATATTTATTATTTACATGCGACATCCCAAAACCAGAAAATTGTCATTTAGCAACATTCGCCGACGATACTGGTTTAATTAGGGTAGAGTGGGGCAGGTTCGGACATGGGGCACCTCCGGACATTTTGAATTTACCGCCTTCCAAAACTAAACGCGTTTCGGCATTTTAAGAGTTGGTACCAGTGTTTACTCCATACCGCCAGACAGATCACCAGAAATACATAAATAGTGACCCCAACTAAGTATTATGTCCTCTACTCATAAGGTTTTGTAGGATTTTGTGATGTCATTTTTAAGTTTTAAAGGGGTATACGTACAAAGTATGATATTTTCACACCACATAAGCTATATTTCAAGAATCGACAATACATGATTTTCAGTTTTTTTAGATTTTTTCACATTTTGTACATGTGGGGTACATTCGGACAGTACAAGGTGGGGCACATTCGGACTATCAACTCCTCATGCTGGGAATGCTCGCATGGCTAAATTTTTAAAATTCAACGTAAATTTTAGTACTTTCAATCTAAAATAAATTCTTTTATACTTTAATAATAAAAACATGTTCAATTTACGTTTTCTTGTCATTCATTATTTTTGTTATTTTTATATTCTTTATTTTTGTAGGCTAGTGCCAAAGTTCGTAGGTTTGTATGTTTGGAGTTCCTTTAAACTATAAGTTTTGATGTTTAGATTGATGCTAAATTATTTAAAATATTCCTGTCAAAAAATAAACTGTTTATGAAGTATATGTCCGGAGTTACCCCATGCGTGTCCAAAACTGCCCCACAGTGGGGCACCTTCGGACAAATGGCAACTTTTTTTTATTTTAATTTTCACGAAAAATGGTGCAAGTTTTTCCTGAAATTGCTATGGTATTGGTTTAAAAACATATGATGCAAAATATTTGCGTTTTTAGAACATTAAGATTAGCTAAAATAAAAGTTCGGTATCACCTTAACAAAATCCGTCTGAACCTGCCCCACTCTACCCTACAGTGGAAAAAAGTATTGAACAATCAACAGAAAAACTGCAGAACGCTGTCAGTGAAGTTCAAAATTGGACCAAAAAATGGCGAATAAAATTGAATGAAACCAAATCAATTCACGTTGATTTTACAAACAAAAACGTAAATCACATACAAATCACAATTAATGACACCCCTATACCATATTCAAATCAAGCTAAATATCTTGGTATGACTCTTGATGCGAAATTGCGCTGGAAAGCACATGTTAAGAAAAAAAGGCAAGAGCTTGAATTTAAGTATAGAAAAATGTACTGGTTAATTGGCAGGACGTCCAATTTAACTATACATAACAAGTTACTACTTTATAGGCAAATACTGAAACTAGTATGGGCATATGGAATTCAACTTTGGGGTTGCACTAAAGATATTAACATACAAGTTATTCAAAGATTCCAAAATAAAGTACTAAGAAAAATTGTTAATGCACCTTGGTACGTTCGAAATAGTGATCTACATCGGGAACTAGGAATTGATACTGTAACAGAGACTATAAGAAAGTACGCAAAAAGCCATGAAGATAGACTACATCGGCATGTGAATGTGGAAGTGATTGAGCTCCTAGACAACACTGAGCTAGTTAGAAGACTGAGAAGGGTGAAGCCGTTCGAGCTAGTGAACTGAAATTGAAAAACACAACAAAATAGTGCTATAAACACATCAAAATTGTGATTTACAGTTTAAGCAAAGTGGGGAAAACTGTTGAGTGAACCTCAAGAATTGTAAACTTTATAGTAAATTAGGTGAAAACAAAATTGCTAATTAGTCTTACTGACTAGATTGTAATGTAATAAACACAAATAAAAAAAAAAAAAAACTTATGGTCGTGTTGTGCTCTTAGGGTTCCAATCTTATTGGTTTTAGGAATTTCTCCATTTGCTATATGTATTGATACATAGTTTGGTTATGTCAAACATTTGGCTTCTAGACTTTCCTGCACAAATACTCGCACCTGAGTCTAATACATAACTCAATTTGCCGTCAATTTCACTGCAATAGTTTGCAGCATATAGCATCACTTCTTCTTCACCTGCGTTTGCCTGATGCTTTCCTTCTTATATCTAGGTATTTGTCGGACATACCTTGAACTATAAGGCGGTTATCACACCAGCAATACGCGACTACAACGATACCGCGACGCGACGAAGCCTTGCAGTCGCGGCAAATAGTTTCGAATGGAGACCTGCCCACCAAGCACCAAGGCAGCGGCGACGCGATCGCAACGCTATCTGTAAGATACCAGTCTCGGGCGACCGAGTGGCTCAGTCTCCTTGCGACCGTCAAGATACCTACCTACATAAAATTATTAATATGAGTGAGGAACAAAATAACATTAGTTTTGTGGAGATAATCGAAAAATATCCCTGCATATACATATAATTATAATTTAAGTGAATATTCCATATATTTTTCGCTTTTTTCTTAAATAATATAATGCCACTATGACTGCTTCCTCTTCACTTGACGAAGACATTTTGTTGACTGAAGTTTGTTTTTTCTACAAAATAGTTTACACACTTATTTTTTTAATGACCAATTAACATTTATTTGATATAAATGTTGTAATTTTGCTCTCAGAGCGACACCATCCTTTCAACCTTGTCAGAGACTCGCAACAACAGTTGAATGGATTTTCTACTGGTAGGAGACTCGGAATACAAACAAAAAGAACGGAGAACAGTAACAGCAAATAACCTCGTACTGAATTTGCCAGCGAAAAGGAATGGAAACCCAAATTGGGCAGAAATAGATAGTAACAAAATAGACTTATTTTGATAAAAGCTACCTACTAAACTTATACTTTTGGTAAAATGATTAAAAAACAATAATTGACATTCTTTGATTCTTTCGATATAATTTAATGCAGTCTTATTTTATTCGAGTTAGGCCCAGGTCTGATCACAATGACAGATGGCGCTTAAACATTTCCTCAAAGCCTCAACTCACCCGTCGCACTACTACTACTATCAGTACCATTTTTCGCTTCAGTCCTCGTTTCGTGAACCCTCGGTATCAAGTATTCCTATTTAAGCGGCGCCTTAAATTTGACTTCTCTGTCTTTCTTGGAGCCCTTTAGGGACTTGGATCTTTGCGGCGGCGGTGTCGCATGAACTTCCGGTAACCGTAGACTGGTCGTGGAGTGCTGCTGGATGAACGGGGATTTTTTCGGGAATTGACTGGCTACCAATGGTACCCAGGTTTGTTGTTTGAGTCGAGGCGCTTTCAGTCTTGCTGAGACACCGGCACCTGCTTCAAAATAATACAAGATTCGAAATTTTTACAATATCAGAAATAATTGTCTATTTATATGAGATTTGCTGGTCTACTTACAATTATCCGGACTGGCAACACTATTATTTTTCACCGCGTCCATTTTGTAAGCTTGCGACCTGACCAATCCCGTCGTCCCAGTATTAACGGCATCCAACGACATACTCCTACTGTTCGTTTTGGCCCATAGCGCGTGTCGTTTGCCTCGTTTCCTTTCTTCCGTTAAACCGCTCAAGTGTTCGTTTAGTGCGTAGAGTTTTTGTGTTATGTCTTTGCCTGAAAAAAAAGGTCACTGGTCTCATTAGGAACCACACGTGATTGTGTTGCGCCGACAGTATTTTTCCCGAATAGAAAAGGAGATCCCGACAAATGATATAATACAGGGAATGGAGATAGAAAACTGATCCGAATTTATCGAAAAAAAAATCGTTCGTGGCCTTTGTTGATAAACCTAATAGCAGATATTTAGAATAAGAACAGCGGAACAGCCTCATTGAAGAAGTGGAAGGAAAATGTCTCCTAAGTATGTTAAATATGTTCACTTTTTACCTATAATGGAATCCAAGACAGTCTTAAGCATAGGTTTGTGCCTGAGTACTCGTTCCAGTTTCATGCGAGACCAGCATAGGTACGTGCTGTCCTCTTCTGCTGTGATTGTCACTTGAAAAACGTCGTCGGATTGTTCGTGGTTCGCTTCCCATTCAGGCGAGTCAACGAACTGGTGCTGATTGATAAAGTGTAGATGGGTGTCATCGCACGTTACTCTGAGTCTAAACAAGAAAAATCAGTGGAAAATTATTTGAAAAAAAGTGTTATAGACAAAGTGTGGCAAACAATAATTGTTATTGGGCTAATATTTGACCCAAACTGAATTGTAGAGAAGCATTCAAGGAAACACCACCAGAATGAATGTTCTTGATGTTTACATTTTTCAATCAAATTACAATATTTTTGAAATGCGTTAAATCTTGAGGGATCTCAAACTACCTAATCAGTGAGCAGTCTCGCAACCGTTACCAGTTTCTATTAGAGAAACTATCCAAGCAATGGGACGTTATTACTGAAATATACATCGAGCTTCAGGTTCAGGGAATTGACAGTACTATCAAAAATCCCATTCAAGACCTTGAAAAATGGTACGAAAAACAGTACAAAACCTCCAGAACAAGATTCAAGGAGTAGAAAAAGTTGTGAAACAGTGCAATATAACATTTCCTCAAATCAAACTACCAATTTTTGAAGGCCGATATGAAGAGTGGGTCACATTTCCAGACATTTTTATCAAGGTGTTTCATGAAAATCCAACAATTACGACAATAGAGAAAATGCAGTATCTTAAAACGCATGTGAGAGGGGAAGCTGGAAGACTGATCCAGCACCTGTCTATAGCAGAAACCCACTATGGTCCTGCTTGGAATATTCTCAATGACAGATACAGCAACAACAGACTTATAGTCTCCAAACTACTAGATAGGATCTTTGATCTTCCAGTGATTAATCACGAATCATCATTCAAGATTAAACAAGCTTCACGATACAGTTGTGGAATGTCATGAAGCCTAAGTATCGATACTTCCAATTGGGGTCCTATTATCAGTCGCATCATCTGCCAAAAATGAGATCATGAACACAACAAGCTCTATGAACAATCGCTAAGCAAGCTCCATGAAATACAGGACTTTGTTGAAATTATGAAATTTCTTCAAGCAAGATTTCAATCATCAAGCAATTTCTGACATAGAAGAAAATTCGCCCCAACTCAAACAATAATGACGAGGCCAGAAGTACTGATGCTTGCAAGTAGATACTGCAATGAAGCCCACATGATTTACCATTGTCCAAAATTCAAAGCTTCGCAAAGCTGGTTCGAATTCAGACGGGACGGACCAAGCGATGCCTGTCACGTCACCAGTTTGCAATCGAAAACGGTTGGTCCTAATTTGGTTGGCCTTGAAGACGGACCAAAGCGAATCGAAAACAGCCAGTGGCAATTCACATAGAAGTTGTCAGTGATATGTCATCAGACACGTTCCTGGCAGCTATCCGGTGGATTATTTCCAGACGAGGAAAATGTGCGCATCTAAGTATATAGTGACAATGGCACCAACTTCATAGGAGCCAGTAAGATATTCCATGATGAACTTAACAAAACAATACAGAAGTCAGAGATCCAAGATGCCTTAGTTGCAGGTGGAACCCAATGGCACTTCATTCCTCCATCTTCTCCCTACTTTGGAGGACTATGGGAAGCTGGCGTCAAGTTGCGGCGATACACCACTCACTTATGAAAAAATGACTACATTAACTCACCAAATAGAAGTTTGCCTCAACTCTCGACCTTTGTGACGATTATCAGATGATCCAGATGATTTAGCAACATTAACTCCAGGTCATTTTCTTAGTGAAAGAGAAATTATATCTTTTCCCGATCCAATAACTACAAGCATATATTCGGACGTTATTAGAAGATGGAAATTAGTTCAGAAAATTGAGAAAGATATCTGGAAGAGCTGGACTAATGACTATCAATTTCAGCAGCGTTACAAGTGGAAGAATCACCGGGATTCACTCAAAATTGGAGATTTAGTTCTAGTAAAGGATCAGAATATCAACCCAAACAAATGGCCACTAGCAAGAATCACTGAGGTGCATCCAGGTAAAGACACAACTGTTAGAGTGGTCACTATAAAGAGAGCAGAAGGAGGTCCGATGAAAAGATCTACGCATCACTGAATTCCATTATTGTCAAATGCTGAGGCTGAACAACAGCCAGTCCACAACAATAACAAACGAAGCCCAAGACAGCACTGGAAAAAGATATTGAACGCCATTCTATTCGTTGTGATGCTCCAAGGTTTCAAAGCAAATCAATATTCGATACATTATCCTCAACCAGGACTATACATTGAGCACATGAGATATGCACGAATAGGGGAAATGCGGGTATGATGGACCCATAGTCACCATATAGTTCGAGAACCAATTAACGTAGAATGCTCATTCATGGACAAATCGTTTCGTTCGTAAAGGGTAAGCATATAACCCTTTACCTTGTAGAAACAATTTAAGTGATATTAAAAACTGCTCCGAAGTTAATGATTATTAGAAGAAAATAAGCAAAGGGACCATCATATCAGAATGTATAGGTATGCTGGTCCCTGTATGAGGATATGTTGGTCCACCTCTACTTCACACATGTTCCAACGTTATTCTATAGAAATCAAATTTTGAAAGCATGAAAAAAATATTTATTTCTTGTATATGGACAAAAATGACATCAGGTATCAAACTAATCCAATACTTTTCTTATGATATGAGGAACATTTCACCCTGTTTTTACTATTTTAACTTAAGAAAACTAACTTCAAACAAAACAAGATCCCTATTCCATAATAAACAAATTAAAAAATGATAATTATAGTTCAAAGACCTAATACAAAAATAAGTGTGCTATTCTAGGTATTGCATAAAAGAAAATAAAAATATCTCAACACTAAACTGCTTCAATTTCTTTGACACAGGACCGAGCACAGGACGTTTCTGGAGAGAGCTGAGTATGTTTGCGCTGAGTATCATCGCAGGCATCTATCTGTGTAGCAGTATCTGCTGCCATGGGTACATCAGTATTTGCTGCCGTGGGTACATCAGTATCTGCTGCCATAGGTATATCAGAAGTTTTTGATGGTGTAAACATCCATTCAGGAAAAATATTAGGATCGAACGGATGTATTCCGGTTTTTTTAAATCCACTTGTTGCATTGCCAACTGTTGCGGCTTTAGCATAGGCTTGGCTAAATATTTCTCCCACTTGGAAGTGGCTAACCACACGCTTTTCGTTTTGTAACATCCATGTTCTTATTGCCTGATTATAATAGGTCGTTAGCGGACCAAATAAATTCACATCTAAGGGCTGAACTCGATGGGTACAGTGGGGTGGGAAGCAGAAAAGTAAGATATGGTTCTTCTTAGCATATTCGAGGACTTCAATATTTTTGTGGCTGCAGTGGCCATCTAATAACAACAAAATCTTGTTGTGTTCTGAAGGCTTAGAATGTTCCTTGAAATGGGAAAGCCACTTTAAAAATATTTCCGGGAAAATCATAGCCGGTGGAATGTAATTTCCAACAGCATTCATTGCACATACCGCTGTAAACCTTTGTCCTTTCTCAGCACTTGTAGCGACGCCGACCTGCTTCCGTCCTTTTGTAGCTACAATACGTTCAGTTCTAGATTGGACGGTTGTGAAACCGGATTCATCCATATTATAGATAGACTCCGGGCGAAACTTGAATTTATCTAAAAGGACCAACAAGGCATTGAAGTATTTCTCGATTTGAACTTTGTTGAAAGCTGAGGCACGTGCAATGGATGTTGCCTCTGGTGTTCTAAAAGTAAGTCGCGGATGTCTTTTCAAAAAACCTTTCAACCACTGCCACCCTGCCATCTTATTTTTTCTGCTGAATGAATGCTTTAGTTTCAAAGACTCAGCCAATTGGAAGGCTAATCGTCTTATGTCAGACGAAGTGAGACCAAAAAGTCGATCCGACATTTCTGTTAAATGATTAGCCAGGCCCAATTCTACTTCTTCTGAAAAAATAGACTGATGGCCTCCCAAAAACCCTTTTTGATTGCCTTTGGATATTTAATTTTTTTCTAGAACTCGCCTCTTAAGCGTACTTCTAGGAACACTGTAAGTGTTCGCTGCACGCTTGTATCCCATAGACTTGGACTTAATTGCGTCGATTGCCTCTTGCATATTGTCCTCTGACCACCGTTGTCGTTGTTGGTTCGTGCCAGGCATCATTCTGATTGGGAACAAAAATAAAAATATTAGAGTAGGTACTTACTGGTATGATGGCCTACTGAATGTTGGCATGATGACCAACATAGCTTAATATTGAAGGGACCAACAAACCCAAATAGTACATAATGCACAAAATATACGAAAGATTGCTGAATACTAAATTTGGCGCCACGTTTTTTTGTGCGTTTATAGGTTATGTTCATCTCTATACAGAAACCGCATTAAATTAGATCAAATAAATTAGCTTCAAGAAAAAAAATGAATTTAACTTACCGTCAGTGAATATTCACAACTGAACAAAATTATATATAAACAATATTTCCGCTAATAATAATTGAAATCACAAAATTTTTCGTTGAACACTTCTCACACCCATTCAGCAGAAGAAACACTTGGTGAATCTACGTTGCCAGATCTACAACCCAGTGATTTTGAAAGGGGACCATCATATCGAGGGGGTCGACATATCCGAATTTCCCCTACACAGGGGCACTTTCAGAGTTGACCCTGAATATGAGAAGAACAAAATAATAAACGATTCGATGAACGTTCAAGATGCAATTTATCAATTGGACGACCTCTGTCAGCAAGTAAAATCAATGGAAATGAATACACAATGGGTGTCACTAATCCATCATTTAAAAGAAAAGGAAAAACAATTTCAATGGATACAAAACGTTCTACAGCTGTGGTATCCAAACATGAAAAAAGAGGAGTTTTGGGAAAACTATTAACCGCAGTATTCGGAATAAACGATGAGATCTACATGACGTTGACGAATTAGACAAAAGCCAGAAGGAGCTTATCAAGGCATCCAACCATCAAACCAAATTCATGCTACATCCTCTATCCAATTTCAATGACTCCGAATTCAGAATCAACAATCAACTCCAGAGATTCCGGGATAGAATTGCTGAATTAAGGTTTGTAGGTTGGGCTAGTACACCCGGGAAGGTTGGTAACTGGGGAGTAAGAACCAATGCTGGATTAATACTGATATTTATTAAACAATAATTATCACTATCACATCTTAAAGACGTCCCTAAGATGTCCACAAACGATATTCAAGATGTTTTACTTACGTCCTTATAGGCGTCTTAAGACATCCACGTCTTCAACGAGGTGTCTTAAAGACGTCTTTGAATTTCTTTTCAATAGTTGTCTTTAAGATCTGAATTTACGACATCTTATGGACGTCTTCATTTGTGTCCTAAAGAAATTAAAAAAATAAATAAATATATAAAAACAACGCCTTTTTTGGTCTTCAGACGTTCAGACATAATGCAGACCTGAAAAAGACGTCTTCAAGACTTTGTGTGCTGTCTGGGATGATGATGATGATACTTTACAAAGAGTCCAAAATCCTTAAACCCATATAGTTGGAGTACCACAATCAGACGATGAGAAATAATCAGCGATACGATGAATTACTTCAGGTAATACTTCACGGCAAATTTTAAGAAAGCATTATTATGAAAAGAGAAAAATTTCCTGATGGAAGAACTTAGTTTATCGTGTCAACCGTCAAACATTGCTGCGTAGTATTTGTTTTATTCCTGATATCTTTTTATTTATCTAAAGTTTTATCTGGTCCGTGAGAAATTTATTGCAAATATGCAAAGCACAATTTATGTGCGGGGAAACGGTTGCCAAATTTGTATGTATGCAAAGCTATGGCGCTTAGCCAAAATCAAAAAACTGTGTCCTTCTAATAATATGTCAGTTTGATTTAATACGGATCAAAACTTCCAATTGAGTCAATACGCCAAAAAACTGAAACTCAGACATAACAATAAGTAAAGAGTTACAAATAGTAGAAAAGGAAAGCCAAATTAAATAACAATTGAGGAAAGATTATTACGTAATAAAAAAAAAATTCTTGAGTAAAATCGAAATAGGAATCCAGAAAAGCAACTATTAAAATATATAAATTGGATGCAAAACACTGAAACTAGGATATTAACAAAGAGTCGAAAAGTTGAAGTACAACTCACAGAAATAAAATTAGTACTTATTTGAGAAAAGTACAAGAAGAATAAATAAAAAAGACGCGTAGAAAACCGACAAACACCCACCCCGACAAATAAAATCATTGACGAAATTTGTAGGGTCTGCACGGACAAGACAAGTGATCGAAACTGAGGAAAAAGGAATTTGTACCTTCCTTTTTCCGTACATGATCCGACTATATGGAGATCGAAATACTAAACAAAGATAGAAAACATAAAGAGCAGCGATGACAATTTTTAAGGCCAGAAAGAAGATGTAATGACCCGGGAAAAATAGACCCGTAATTTACAATGTCTTAAAAATACTCCAATAATTCACATCAGTATCAATAAAAATTGAAAAATAAAGAAACAAATTAGCATTGACCCAAATTAATTAAAATATTTAAAATACGTGCAAATTTCAATAACCAGTCATCAAGCGTGTGTCATCACATTGAACTCGTAAATAAAATCTTGTAGTAAGTAATTAAATTGGGTCCCAAAGTGACAGAATTATAATAAAATCATGATTTACGGCCGGCACGAGTGCGGTTTTTCATTGAATTAGGTGTCCTCCGCATTCTTCCAAATATGTTTACCCCGATAATCCAGGAAATTGCGACAAACACGGTTTTACACAAATAATAGTTATTTATACACCAAGTGAGTTAAATGAATAAATATTTTAACTCTCGTGATGTATACAAAATTTTATCCCATTTCGTAGAAATTCCAAAAATAAAGTACCTACAAGAAAAAATGCTGAGAGTGAGTTAAAAATATTTTAAATCACTGAGGTGTCAGAGTTAATTGGACAGAGTGACTTAAAATGCCGAGAGTGAGTTAAAAAATCTTTAAATCACTGAGGTGATAAACGTCTGCTTACCTTTATTCTTATGCGTTCAATAATGTTATTTTTAAATGTCAAAATGGGATAAAATAATTATATTCCTTAGAAAAGAGGAAGGTTAAGGTTAAGTACATGACCCGAAATTTTTGGGAGGATCGAAAAATATAAAAAGAGCGGTTTCGGAATTTTCAGTCAGTTCAGTTGTCTTCAGTTCAGCTTAGAGTCTTGAGTCTACAGTCTTTTGTTTTGTTGCCTCGGGAAAACGCGCTAAATCGAATCTCGAAAAGTAACGGAAAATCGTGAAGGAAAGGACCTTTAAATTCGTTCAACATTATGTGCGAGCTCTAAATAATCAAAAGAATTATTTGAGATTAGTTTGGTTTTTTAAGGACGGAATGTAAGTACTCTAGTGACATGTTTAATTGACTTTATCAATGTTAAAATGACTATGAAGTAAGTGTATTGACAATAGGACTTCGCAAATATGTTATTAACTTGAGTGAACTTTTGAATATTTTTTTTTTTTTGTTTTGTTTAGTATAAATAGGAAATTTTGATGGCTATTGAATCTGTGAGCTCTGTCTCATGAAAAGAGTTAATGAACATTGAATTGAAGATTATAGTTGAATATTTTGAACTCTAAAAATTTAAATTAAATGCGTAATATTGAATTGAGATAGTATTGTTATGTCTCAGTGTAGATCGTGAAAAATTAATTAATATGTTTAATGTTTTGTACTAATATTTACTCTGGCTGAGATTTCAATTTTGAGTAATTCTTTGTATAAATTTGGCAGCAAGCGAAATCAAGGGTTTTTCTATACGCTTATAGAAGCTACGACGTTTTAAAAATTGTAATGTTTTGACGTGCAGGAGTTTTGGTTGAAAGTAGAGCTCTATAAAAAAGTTATTTAAGTACAAGGCTTTTGATTGTAACATTTTAATTAGAAGCTCAGAGACAGTATACAGGTGTCTGTAAGTTAGCATCATTTAGAAATGTTTATTTTTGTTTTAGAAATTGTACCATTGTAATTGGATAAACTTTGTTTATTTTGTCGAATAAAGCATATTTATTAATGGTTAACCGTACATCAGTGGTTTCTCTCACTTACAAATAGACCCACCCCCACAATTTTATTTTACAGTAGCTGCCCAAGGAAATAATTACCATCAAATACGACCGCTCGTAATTTAGCATCTAACCTAAATAATAGAGTACTTGGCGAGGATGCTACAAAGATTATGAAAATTATACGAACCAAGTGGGATAACTTTGACTATGTTTTAATTGGATAAAAATGTCTTACCTTCCTTTGAGCAAAACTGATAGTCTTTCGTCTGCAGGACTAACGTCCTCTACAGCGTAAATATCACCACATTCTAGCGTCTGGACTTTGGCCTCCTTAACTAATTCCTTAAAGTGCTTTTTACTTACTCGTAGTGGCTTAAATACCTACAAAAAAAATTATTTCTCATTTTTTTGGGCCCTAAAGTCACATTGGTGAAGGGTCTCAACTCAAGTTACATTGTTTATTGAATTTGAATTTGAATAGTTTCTTTCTATGGCGATTTCTATACCTATGTTTTTCATGAGATTTTAGATAGGAGGCTCTATTTATCATATGATAAGTGATACGTATAAAAATATCACTCTGTACTACTTCTACAAAGTAATTTTAGTAGGAAACAAAAAAGCTGTCTCTATTAGCTCGGGTTACCTATCTGAGCAGATTAGAGTTGCCAGATTAATTTTTTTTTAGAGAAATGTATGTGATTGAGTGTCAAAAAATTACAATTTTGCAATATGCAAAGTGATTCTAGCTACTAAATCCAACCGAAGTTCACTTAGCAACTCATTTATATAGGCGATAAACCAAACGGAAGTTTCCATGTCAGCACGTCATTCGTTTAATCATTTTTTCTGCGAGTCATGTTTCCTCCAAAATCGTTTTACCATTCCTTAAAAATAAAATGTCATCCATCGTATACCGAGTTATTTCTCCATTAAAATTTGTACGTAAATAGGCCCTCGCGCGATTAATCGAAACTGAATATCTTAAAATGCCCTTATATCATGACATCCCCGTTATTGCACAGGAAATTGCATAGTCACGCAAAATCGCATAACATACGAGCCTATATACTTTTATAAGGTGAAAGGTAAAAGATTTACTTCGAAGATAAAAAAATTGCACATAAAAGCTTAAAGACTATGAATATGCAAGCAAATGCTTTGTCGATTACCGTTTTTTTTTAGTTTCATAGAAAACTTGCGCGAAGTTTATGAGTTTAAGGGATGATGCTATGACTGAGCGACTATAAAAATAAGATCAAAAGTTAAATATTGAAAGCAAAAATATACCTACGCAAATTATGATTATGATGTGTGATGGGGGATATCAATGGAAGAACAGGAAGGACGACCTAGCCCAGTTAGTTGTAGTACCGAATCATTTAACCGACTAACTATTCTAGGCGAACAGCGATATTTATAATAAAGAAAACCGAATCAAGCAGATGATATGTTTGGTCAGCAAATAGAGCTGACATTACTCCTCCCTTCTTAGGATGCAACTTCATGCTAGGCGGGGAAGTTGGATTGGTTGGGCTTCTTCTTCAGGGTGGTTATCCCTTCTTCGGTTCTTCAACTTCGGTGCTGGTTTCTTATAACCAGAAACTTGTTAGTCTTCTAATTTCACTAAACGTCAAACGGTTTTCTACGATCTCGTTAGCTAGTTGTTGGAGATTGTACAATTTTATGTTTCCCTAAATTTAGGGAATGCATTAATTCGGGTACATTTGGAAGGTCGGGAAATAGTATAGGTTGGGCATCGGATTCAGAAGCTTTCTTTCGTTGATTATCAGTCTCGAAGAGATAGTTATTTGGCAACTGATTGGTATCTGAACTAGAAAGGTTCCAATAATTTTTCTGATTTCTTCTTGTCCAAAGCACTTGAGTTCAATAGGCACTTCAGCCGGAAGGACGAATACCGAATACCCATTGATCCGATTTGTCCAATCGATTGATTATTGGTTGCGTGATTTTGACTTCGATTGGTTTGCAAGTAGAAGTGTCTTTTTCAGAATTCAGTAGCTTTATTTCACATGGAATGCTGTCCAAGTTCTTCTTTTTCGCAAAGGTGAAATTGAGGAAGGATTTTCTGGCATTCTTGGCCATAATGTGCGTAGTGCGATCCGTTTTTTAAAAGATATTTATTTTGTGGAAGGACTACCTTAAACTGACTCTGACTTTTGATTGGTATTGAATATAGGTGGAAATAATCGAAAGATTCAGGATACATTTTAGGTATGTGGACCAAATAAGTTATTTTATTGTTAAGAACAAATGATTCTAATTTGATGATTTTTTCATACAAAAGAATGTTTTCAACATTAACTGCTAAAGACATTTGTTCATTACTTAGTTGTTTTTGTAATTTGATTAGTTCTGTACAGAGATCTTCAGTTCTCATTATGCTAGGATGCATCATTTTTAATTTAGAAAAAGTTAAAGAGTTTTCGACATCTTGTAATATTGAATCTATTATTTAATATAAAGAGAATTTTCTCTATAAGCAGATTTCTCTACTATATGTGCGATTTGATTGATTTTTGATTCTAAGAGTTTCTCATTATAATTTATTTGTTTTATCGTCGTATTGAATTTTTCAATAACAGTTAAAGAAAGTGAATTTTGTTTCAAAATATTTGCATGCAAATTCTTATGATTTCCTTGCAATTCCCTTATAGGATTTTCATAACGCTCGCCATCGTCAGCGTCGAGGTTTCCTGTTACCGATTTGAAAATTGACCCTAGACCGTTAATCAAGCCTCTTTTTGTTCTTTGTGGCTGGGGAATTATTTTTTTTAATTTGTTATCTACTCTAATTTGTATTAGTTTAATTAATTTGATATAAATTGCTAATATCTTCAGAATACTCTTTGTGTCCATTAGGCATGTTAGTGATATTATTGGATTTAAAGTGTAGTTTGTTAATTTCAATTAGTATGGGATTTAGGTCATAGTAATGTATTAATGTGTAGGTGTAGTCTTTAATTTTTGCATTTCCAGGTTTCACTGGGATAATTCCAGGATTTGCTCTTGTCTTCCGAATGCATGGGTTAGAAAGCTGAAATAAAGATTAGTAAGCGTAAGCGTGAGGTTATCATATTCATATTTATTAGTTCCAATATTATTATACTCATTGCCTATTTATTAAAATTAATTTAAGTATCAAAACTATATTTGTTTCTTAGAGGACGTTCAATATTGTCCATATGCACTTTGCCTAGAGTGTCCGTTGTTATTGTTTTTCGTGTAGGATCAACGGTCTCTATTTGTGTGGCTGGTCGTAATTGTCTCCTAATTTTTGGCGTGTATGTTTCTTTACATATATCTTCTGTTCTGGTCTAAATAATGTTGGCTTATCACGATTTTCATTGATTTTGCCAATTATTTTATTTTTTGTAGGTATCTATAAGATGCTCGTTTATATTGAAATACAAAAGTTTTGTTTTATTTTTGTGCTCGTTGAAGTAATCTGTTATTAGAAGTTGATCTTACTTAAGATCGAATGGGTCATTGGGACTAATGTGTCCTGTGATTATGTCAATGAGCTTGGGTTTTGGTTACAGAGTGGATCGTATGATTGTATGCTAAGATTGCATATTGAATTTTTTGGGTAATTGGCGTCTTTAAGAATCCTTGATTGTTAAAAATGCTTATGTGCTCAGATAAGGTTGAGTGAAGTCTTTCAATTACGCCGTTTGATTGAGGGTGTTCAGGAGTACAAAAATGTATTTTTACTTTGTGCAGTTGAAGTAATTCAGTAAGAACAGTATTTTTGAACTCAGTTCCGTTGTCTGTGATTATCTTCGATGGAGTGCCATGATGTGAAAAGAAGGATATGAGATATGAAATTTAACCTTATCGAGAGTGTATGTATCAAGGTGGACGATGTCAAATGGTTTTGTTGCAGAAGGCGTGATGTTCATTTCCATATTTATTGGGTGGCGGGTGGCATTCGTATTTGCTACGTTGACAAATTTCACATTCATTGATGAATGATTGAGATGTTGGCGGCGTCTTTTGTGTGTAACTCAATGCGACTTAGCGCGTCAGCATTTGTGTTAAGTTTTCCTTTCTTATATGTTATTTGGTAGTTGAATTCTTGTAACTTTATTCGCCATCGTACTAATTTTGAAGTGGGATTTTTATAGTTAAACAGCCATTGTAAGGGTTTATGGTCTGTTATGATAAACTTTGGTTATGATGTTAAACTTTCGTCCATACAGGTATGGCCTAAAATATTTTGTCGCCCATACTAGGCACAAACATTCCTTCTAGAGAGAGGTAGAGTAGTTTTGTTCAGAGTCGTTCAATGTACGGGACGCGTATGCTATTGGCAGGTCCTGAACTATGGGCCCTTGCGACAGTACGCCGCCTAGCGCTACGTTGCTAGCGTCAGGTCAAATTAAAAGTTTTAGAAAAGTCCGGGTACTGTAATATCGGTTCATTTGTCGATAGTTTTTTACATTTTTCGAAACAGTCAATGAACTCTGGGTTATGTTCAATCTTGGCTCCCTTTTTCCAAAATTTGGTTAGTGGCTTTGTCAATTTTACAAAATTGTTTATGAAGCGTCGATAATAGCCTAGTAGTCCAAGAAATCCCTTTATTTGTTTCGTTGTTTTTGGTATGGGATAGTTTTTGATTGCATTGACTTTATCTGGGTTAGGACGTACTCCTTCAGGTGTTATAATGTGTCCTAAGTAGGCTACTTCGTTTCTTAGAAACTCGCTTTTATCTAATTGGATCTTAAAATTCGTTTCTCTTAGTCTTTGGAATACGGTTTCTAATCGCTCCATTCGCTCCAAGTATTCCTGTAATGACGACGAGAAGACCTATAATGTCATCAAGGTGAACTAGGCACTTTTCCTTTTGGATTCCTCGTAGGATGCCATCTATGACCCTTTGGAATGTGGCGGGGGCATTGGATAAACCGAAGGGCATTCTTAGAAATTCGAAATGGCCATTTTCTGTACTAAATGCCGTTTTTTCAATGTCCTTTTCATTCATTTGTATTTGATGGAACCCACTAGCCAAATCTAGGGTTGTGAAATATTGACACTTCCGTAATTTATCCAGAAAGTTCGTGATATTAGGAAGAGGGTATCTATCTGGCATGGTCTTTGCATGGACGCCTCTGAAGTCAATAATGACTCTCCATTTCTGCTTCCCAGAAACATCTGCCTTTTTTGGGACTACCCAAATAGGTACAGACCCAAGGAGACTTGCTTGAGCGTATAATATTCTGGTCCAGCATTTTCCTTGCTTGCTTATGAATGAATGGGTACCTATTATATATGTTTTTGTATATACAGGCTGTTCATCTGTTGTTTTTATAGAGTGTTTTATTTCACGTGTGAATGTCAGTGGCATATTTTCTTGGTAAAATATGTCTGAATATTTTCTACATAATTCAATTATTTTGGCTCTCTCTTCTGAGTTAAGGTGATCTGTGCGAATTTGAGTATAGCCAAAAATATCAGTAACGTAATTTGATGCCACAAAATTATCTAAATCAATTTGTTCTATTAAATGGTTCCACTTCATGGTCGTGAAAGATCTAATATTATTGGCTGACATGTATTGTTGAAGATTGTTGTTGAAGCGTATCCATTTTTTGCAATGCTTAGGGAGTTCGGAATCTCGCAATTATGCATTTTCTGATATGGAATTTTAACTTCACCATCATGTATGCTGGTTTTAATTTTCATTAGCTGTTCGGTACGTGGTGAGAGAGTGATATTATATACTTGGTTCATGTTCGTTCTTTGGAATTGTAACTTGTTTTTTGCAAATGGAGTTACTAAGAATCCTGTTTCATAGTTGTCGTTTTCAACGACATGGTGGAGCCACTATCTATGAGAAATTTGAGATTGCATTCACGACGATATAGGACAGTTCACTTGCGTTGACGTTATTGAATGAAATTATTTCAGGTGATTCTAGGGAGCAGGGTTTGTTGACTGGATTTCCTGAAAATCTGATTGTTCCGAAGTACCAGCTGTGTCGTACTCTACGAGTTCAGTGGTTTGGAATTCATTGTTTGAATCGTTATAATTATCGGAATAACTATAACTTTATTGAGGGTCAACTTCGGTCTCGTAGTAATATGATTCTTGATCATTTTCGGTGTAAGAAAGGACCGTAACATTAGTCGTATTTGTATTATATAGTTCTTCTGAAATAAAGTTACGTGGTCGCGTAACTTGGAAATAATTATTACCAGAAGTTTGTGGTGCATTGGTAGGAGAATAGGTTTACCTTGTCGTTGTAGACATTGGGGTAGGTCTAGGAAAGTTTTTGTTTTGTCCTGGTTTAAATACATTGATCTGATTTTTATTTTTGAAGACCTGTGAGTCAGTTGGGAATTTTTGTTAGATTTTATTATAATGAGGTCTCACATGAATAGGTTGAGATGGAAATTTTTGTTGAGTGAACGTGTTATTTGGCGTATTAGCATTAAATGTGTTAGAATGATTTTATCTTTGTTGTGTATTTTGTTTTAAATGCTGTGAGGGATGTTTTTGTTGAGTTTTAGCTATATTCTGAAAATATTGTGTATTACATTCCTGTGTGACAAATTGTAAAGCTTCGGGAAGGTCTTTGGGACGCATACATCTAATTGTTGTTCCCAATGGTTCCCTTAAGCCTGATAGGAAAGTTTTAAGAGCAAGATCATTGTATAAGTTTCGCTTTAAATTTTTCGCAGTTTGGTCAACTTCGTGACTATTTACATAAGAACAAAGCAGGTTTGAAATATGCATAACCCTGACATAATACTGATTAGGTTTTTCTGTGTTTTGTTGTTTCAACATTACGAGATCTCTGTTTAAACATGCCTCGTCCCTTTGATCTGCGAAATGCCTATTAAATATTTGTTTCAAATTATCCCAAGTTGTGACATTTTCTGTACCTAGGATCAATTTTGCGTTTCCAGTTAGTTTTCCGATTATGCAATTTATCAAGTAAATGTTTTGAAAATGGTTTGGTTGATTTGCATCTTAGAAATTATCAATTAAACTTAGGCATACTGCCAAATATCTATTCAGATCGTTAGGGTTACCATCGAATTGTGGTACGCAATTCAAGTACTCAGGTCTAAATTGAGCCATATCGTTACTTGTATTAATATTATTTGAACTTAAAATTATTTTGATTATTAGTGCTTGTATCAGTATCTGCAGCACTGTTATTCAATGTTTGATTAATATTTCTTATAAACTCTTCTGTATCAGAAGGTGAGTCAGTTGAAGGTAGAGATAGAGATAATAATATTTCTGCTAATTCATCAATATCAGACATTAAAGAAATTACAAATTGCACATTGCACTTACATGAAAATTATTCCGTAGAGCAACATTTATAAGCCCAAGAATTTCTGGTAGGCTATGTTTATCCTTCCAAATCAATCCTGGTCCTCGCGAATATTGGCTATTTTGGTCCAATAATCCGATTTCTTTGGTTTTCGATTTCGTAAAGCCACTCCGACACTTCTCGCAAACACTTAATACGATTCTTACGCAAGGGCGTAGATTCGAGTTTCCGGTTAGTCCGATTTCTGAAAAGTTCGTAAACCAGTCCCAAAAACAAAAATCCTACCGACTGCGCCAGTTATCAATACGTAAGCCGATAACGAGTTTTTAAAAAACAATTTATTTACTAAATTACAATGAAGTACTTTCGCGTTGCCCGTTACAAAGGTTTAAAATAAGAAATATAATTATAATTCAACTGACTAACTATTCTAGGCGAGCAGCAATATTTATAATAAAGAAAAGCGAATTATGCAGATTATATGTTTGGTCAGCAAATAGAGCTGCCATTACTCACGGTATGAAAAATCATAAAGACTAAATTTACTTAGTTGTGTTGTGTTTATATGATATTTTTCTTGAGATTCGCCGGCTTTATTACCAGGTTTACCTTGTCTCATAAAAATTCAATACCTACTAATATAGGAACATAAGTTCTGAGATTTCACAAAATTGGATTTGCGGGTTTGGTAAATATCTCTGGGAAAACAGGTGCAGAATGCTTATTGAAAAATATAGATTCAAAATATTAGGTATATTTAGAGGGTTGAGGGTTGGTTGACTTACCTTAATATAAAGTTCAGTTAGGTCGAGCGTCAGGGTCGGAGGTAGAAATCTCCAAGTCAACAAGGCAGTATGTATACAGTTTAATATAACTATGATTAAATTCCATAATAAAATATCAGGGGCGCACACCTCGACGCCGCCCCATATCGCTAGGAAAAAATATCCGAAGGACAGGAGAGCCCTAAAAAAATCAAGAAAACAGTCAAAAACAAAAACTTCTGTTTTAATTATAGCTATCAATGTAAACCAACTATTCACATTCATGAGCTATCACCACGCTTATTAATTCGGTCAAAATTTATAAAAATAAAAGGTATAATTACCTCACTAATAACACACTTTGTTTGAAGCTTCCGGGTACCAGGAAAGCGGCTGCAAAAAAGAAATTTGCCGTTTGGAATAGATTGTGTTGCGCTGGAGTCCATTCTTTGCACATTGACCAGGAAGCGTCATCTATGGTACCTAAAAAGTTGGATACGGTGATTCCCAAGTTTATTTAGGTTCAATCCACCAATAATCAACTATACCGTTATAGCATGGCATCCCCTATTGTATACAACAAATTGAATAAAATTTTTAAAAAATTCAATATAATAGTGATAGTTATTTATTTATTTATTCGAATGATGGGAGAGTTGAAGCCATAATTTGTCCTATGGAAGGGTCGGGTGAATAGGTAAGTATTGCGTGTGTTTCGCGGAGGGACATGCCTTTGTAGTAGGTGTGGATCGTGGGATCTGGAATTAATGATGTTAAACAAAAGTTTCATCGTCTTGTTGTCTCGGGCGTATTGATAGGGTATTCATACTAAGTGAACTCTCTAGATCAGCATAGTCATTCTGCTCACTGGGTAAGTTGATTTTATATGCTGCATACCGAAGAAATTTATGCTGGATAAGTTCGATGTTATTTATGTGGACTGCATATAGTGAGGATTCCAGACAGAAAAACAATACTCCAAGTGCGATCTAACTAATGAGATGTAGAGCAATTTTATTGAATTTATATTATTAAATTCTAAGGTGGCACTATTAACGCAACATTATTTATAAATTTGGTTTCTTCTCATTCTTATTAAAGAATTACTTAAATGTCAATTTCGCGTAAAACACACAGGAGTGTATTTTCTACGACCCTGCGCCGATCAAGGCAGATAGCTGTTGAAGATCTGGATCAATGGTACTTAATATGCACGTTGCATTTTTACCGGTTCCGTGTTTTACGCTCAAAAATTCTATGTCTTGTGCCGTTAAAAAGGGACCTTGAGTGCCTTAAGTCGATGGTGATACGTTGGTGGTTGTGGAGAACCGTTTTCCAGGGGATCCCCGTATATACGTACAGCTTATAAGAAAACCCAGGTGAGTGGTAATAACTTTTGTGTGTTTCGACAACCCTATGATATCAATTTAATTTCTATTTCTATTTGTTTGCGCGATTATCCAGTCGCAGTCCAGTTTACTAAATTTCAAATACTATTGCGTAAACAGGCACGTTTCATGAAAACCAACATCTGCTTATTACAAATTTTGTAGATATGAGGAGATAGGATTGTTTAAGCCATAGAATCTCATAACCTGGCATTTCTGTATGTTTAAATCCATACAGTTAACTGTACACCAACAACTCAGTAAGCTAATCTGGTGCTGCAATCGTAAAGCATCGTCAAGTGAGGATAACATCATAACGATCTTAAGGTCGTCTGCAAAGAGAAGTCTGGAACCAGCCAAAAAGCTACTCGTTATGTCATTTATAAAGACATTAAAGAACAGCTAGAGGTCCCCGATCGAATCTGGTGGTTTATTTTATCGAACGCCTTGGAAAAATCAGTGTACCTATATATGGTATCACCTTGACGCCCACTCTCCTAGGCGCCCGACAAATACTCCACAAATGAGATTTAATTAAGTTGGGTCGACCTTTTTTTCATGAAGCCATAGTCGTCAATAATAATACCACCCCACTGGGCTGTCAGGTAGTCTGTTATTCGAAAAGTTTGGGAACACAAATCAGAGTGGATATCGGTCTGCAATTTTTTATGTCTAACATCACCGGACTTATAAATTGAGACAAATTGGGACAACTTCCAGTTCCGATAAAATAAAAAAAACTCTGGTTTTCAGGGATTTATTGAAAATTAGATGCAGTGGTCTAGCAATCACAAAGGCACAGAGTCTGAGGAGCGTCGGTGGCGCACCGTCAGGGCCGGGCCCTTGTTGATATCCAGAGTGGAAAGTTTATTATATTTGCTTTATATAAAAATAAGATAATAGGGTAGTGGACAAGGTATAATTTCAATGAAATCGATGATCTATTCTTCATCTATGGAGTAAATAAAAAATATTCTTATCAAAAGAAATTTCAGATAAAATTACTAACCTTGTTTAAAACGGCGGTAAAAGTAGAGTTTTGGGACGCACTATTTGAACGAAAATATTTCGCGCCCTGATTCTACGTCATAGCTGTTGTATTTAAGTATGAATTAAATAAAACCTACGTCCGATATTCGACACAAACTTACTCTTTAGTGCAAAAAAGAGAGATATATCAGCGTCTCTCGGGTATTATTACATTTAGGCGCACCCTCAACATAACCCCACTTTTTGAGAGAATTCTATTTATCAATCAGTGCATACTGAGTTTATCGGCATCTTTTTCTAAAAGCATGTAAAATACAGTGGCGGATTTAGAAGGGGGGCGCGGGGGGCGCGCGCCCCCCCCTATTGAGCGACGCAACAACGAAATTTTTAATGAAAACACAAACATATTCATCAAGCATTATCCAACATGAAATTCCATATGGTTTTTGCTATTTTTCCAAATTTTTAATACTTTTAAATACGTTTGGCAGCAACGAGCTGGGAGCGAATCGACTGCGGATGACGTAAATCCGCACCAACTTTGAATTTAATCTATAATTGAAAATTCCAATTAAATTTAATCTCCGATTAAATTAAATGTTGATGTCAAATGATAGTTTATGAAAATCTAAGACAGGAATGTGAAATCGGTTTTCCTCTGAAATTAACCGTTCAGGTTTTACAGCCTGTCAAAGTTGCAAAAAGTCAATGTTCAACTGTCAATATTTCCAAAACAGTTGAACTTAGGTATAGGGTATATCACATGAAATCTGCTCAGAATTTTACGTAGAATCCAAATATGCAATCACATACAGGGTGTTTTATTTGAAAAAAAGAAAGTTGGTCTAGATAGCAACAAACCAGAAGTGACACAGGCAATACGTTTAAGTAGAATTGTGGGAAATATTAGGGACATAAAGCTACTTGAAATAATTCATCGGTATCGGTATCCGTAACGCAACTAGATACGTTGACAAGCGAAAAGGCTGTTAAAGCGCTCCCTGTTCCGGTAAACGTAAACGCATTTCATAACCTAGACATTTTTGTCTCAAAACTTCGGCGTTTTTATATCTAACCTTAAAATTGTTATTTTTTTTGCGATAGAGAAGCACTAAACACACAAGAAACTCAAGAAAGTATAAACTAAATAAATTAAATCAACCCGGAAGAAAAGGGAGGTTATATTCATTTGAAATTTGACACATGCGTCAGAAATGTCAAGATACGTTACCGATGATACCGCGTGAGGGCCGTAACGTTACGTTGTACGTACGGTATCTCGGCCTCCGTATCGCTTCTGCACATGCGCAGTACGATACCGATACGGATACCGAGCAAAAAATACGGAAGCTTTATGTCCCTAATTTACTGAGCAACTTTCATTATGGTCACTTTTTCGTATACGAGGTAATTAGAAAGTTACAGGTATTATACGCGACTTTTTTGCCACTCTGTATATTTAAGTCGTTTTTTTATTATTTCTTATCTGAGCCTGAGGCCCTGATGGATCGCCCCCCCCTAGAAGGAATCCTAAATCCGCCGCTGGTAAAATATAAGGACGCGCTATTGGACATACATAACAGCTATGACGTAATTCCTGGCGGTAAATTATAGCGTTTAAAATAAGTAAAAATTTGTTAATTTTTTTTAACGTATATTTTTGTTTTCCAAAATCAAAGAATCATCAACAACAATTGTTTATTTTGTGATGAAGATTAATAAAAAAAATATTTCAAAAAATTGTCCACTACCCTATTGTTGAGGGATATATTATTAAAATGGTCCTGGCGTGCAGTGAAATTGGGATTGGATGTGGTTGAGAAGTAACAAGCAGATTAGCTATATCAGGCCCAGTGTTAGAGGAGGATTCATTAAAATACATTTTTCTAGGTAATCCAGGGTCTTTTTCGTTTGCATTATCGAAGCTCTCAAAAGCCTTTTTTCTACAAGCATGCGTAAAATGTCACTTTCCTGCACGCATTTTAATTCGGAAAGTATCTTTTTCCCGCACGTTGTTAGGATAAAACTATAATATGGTCTCTGGCAGGGATGATTCGATCTCACGCACAAAGTAAGCACGACAGGATCCAGAGAGTGTTTCACATTGCGTTCTTAACATAGAAAAAACATTGTTATCCTCTGGGGAGTTGGAAAATTAGTAGTTTCTAAGGGCTGCTTTTTTGAGTGAGACAAGTTTGCGAAGGTCCTGAGAAAACCAGCAAGTGAATTTAAAAGTTGGTTGTTTTTTTTATGAGGGATCAATTGCGACAGTTGCTGAATATGGGATTCTGTCAAAAGCCTCTATCATATTGTCTAATGGTTGGTCTCTCAATATATCATCCCAGAGAACACAATGGGGATATTTAGTGTTTTTTTTTTTTAATATTTTTTTTCGAATGAGGAAGTTGCATAAAATTTTATTTAGATGCAAAATGTATTTAAAGTGAAGCAAAATACTCTAGAAGTATATTTTCACATTCAAATCCTCTTTATACTGAACCACTAATAAATAATTAATTATTCAAATATTGAATATAACAAAGGGCGCGAAAACGCTCTCAAATTGGTGATGACGTCATGGAACGGTAAACAAACAAAAGTGTAGTTATGATAACGTAATACGTAAGCCGTCAGACGCTTGTGCTTACATCGAATTCTACCGATGGATTCAGCATTCTATGTCGGTCATTGTCAGTTTCCGTTAACTAAACAAAGATAGCCCTCGTTTTTATTCTAATCGACAACGTCACCGCTGTTACTATCATTACTACACTACATCTTTCTCTCTCTTAATATATAGGGTGTAAGTTCACTGCAAGATAATTGATTTCCAAAATCAACGTAACACTATCTTTGTTCAGTGAATGGAAAATGACAATGATCGATATAGTCGCATAAACCAATGACAAAACACAATGGGTAAGAGAGAGAGGGAGTACAGAGACTCGTTTTGAGAGATACCGTCTTGTGACGTCATTCATTTATGAGTGCGTTTTGGCGCGAAGGGAGTTATTTTGAATTTCTATATTTTTTTACAGAGTTGAAAATTTAAAATTTATGTGGCAAGTGACTTTTTACAATGTGAAAAATTTAATAAGAGAATAAAAAAAAAATCTGCAACTTCCTCATTCTAGAACACAAACTAAGTCTAATAACACTATTTTGGGGAACATTTGGGTTGCCATTAATTTTTAA